GCTCGGAAACGAAGAACAGCGGGCCACTAGGCACCAGGGGCACCACAGCGAAAGTAGTTCCGACCGGTGGTCCGGTAAAGTATAATCTTACCGTAGGGCGTCTCCAGTTGGCGTTAGAGCAGTGTATGCTGTGTTTGTGTAGTCCAGTGCGAGAGTGACAGTAACTTATCTCTGCGAACAGCGGCTTAAATTAAAGATTAAAGGCCGGCAATATTTCTCCGAACGTTCGGGAAAATAAAGCTGGGCACTATTTTTCCAAACGTTCGGGAAAATAAAGCTGGGCACTATTTCTCCGAACGTTCGGGAAAATAAAGTTGGGCACTATTTCTCCGAACACTCTGAAATCACATTCTTTTCTGCAAATTTCGGATATAATATAGATCTTTAACTATATTATAGGCCTACCAAAGATTGTTCGTATACAATAAGGTTCAATCGGTCCAAAAAATGTCCGCAGTAAATATTGATATAAAGAAATGCTACAGTTCCAAACAGTTTTTCTCTACAGATATGACGTGTTGCCTGCTATATGAAGCGTGCTTCTCTTAAACTTAATGTGTTGTGTTCACTCATGTGCTGTCTAGATCTAGATCTGTTGTGAAACCTTTATTTTTCACGTTTTTGAAAATTGAAATAGATCTCTAGAATCTAGATCTAGACCCAAAAATTTGCTCCTTCCCTGACCTCGCAGAATGGCAGAATGAAAGTTAGCGCCGAACTCTTGCTAATAGGCAAAAAATCACGAGACCGGAAGCCAGAAACCGTTCGGGGAAATAAAAATCAGCACTACAGTGGAAACCTGATATAACAGGGATGGTGGGAGTAGAGAAAATGTCCTGTTATATCCGATCCCTGTTAAATCCGAAATGCAAGGAAAGTAAGCATTTGTGGACTAATATAGCTGTACTTGTTCATGGGTAGTTGCCCTTGCCACAAGTACCCACAAACAGGGGTTTTGGTACTAACTTTCTCCTTGTCTCCTAAAACCACATCAGAAGAGCTTGGTCCGCAGCATCTGCATCAGGTAGTCTCATCTTCTTTCGATCCAGAGCAAACTTTCCTTTGGAGTATGCTGCCACTATCTTTTCTCTATCCTTGATAATGATGTGAATCGACCCTTGTGGAATGTCGAACTGACGATAAATCTTTGCAAGTGGAGCTTGCTTTTTGTCAACAGCCTGGATTATTTCGTATTTTTTGTCAATTGAAAGGCATTTTCTCTTGCGCTTGACATCGTTGGTGACACATTACGCATGCGTGTTGCTAGGTTTCGGGCTAGATTGAGGTCTGCAGCACACCGCAGCCCTCTCTCGCTTCACACGCTGCGTGTGCTTGCAGTGGCGTGGCTTGCGTGTGCTTGCTCCACCACTGCGTTACTCTCTCTCTCTCTCTCTCTCTCTCTCTCTCTCTCTCTCTCTCTCTTTTACTTTTTACACATTGTTAACGACCCTTTGTCCCTGCTATAACTGTTTGGGCTCCGATGAGGCCCTGTTATTGCCGATAACTTTTAATATAGAGAAAGAGAAGGAAAAAACGGGGATTCAAAAAATCCCTGTTATTACCAGATCCCTGTTATTACCGGGCCTGTTATATATATGGTTTCCACTGTATTTCTCAGAACGTTCAGAGAAATAGTCACTTTGTAAATGAAAAAATTGCAATAGAAGTACACCGCCGATATAATATATCTTACTTTTTACGTTTCGATCTATGTTACTGACGTTTCGTTCGCCAGAGGCTGTTTGTAGTAGTTATCCTTCTCTTATACGCTGTGGCTTAGCATCAGTCTCCAGGATGAGGGATATTGTGCTTATTAATAATTATTACAGTACTACGTTGTAGTTGTGTTGCTTTTTCTTCCAAACTCAAAGTCAGTTAGTTACTGAAATTTATTGAATATCCGTGAACATACAGACATTCCGATAGGAGACATGCTGATAGAATCTAGCTGACATCAGTTGTGGGAAAAATTTCCCCATTTCACCATATAAATCTGAGGTAACAATAACGCAGTGGCTACGCTACGTTCACCGTGCCCTGAATGCAGTTTGCAGGCACTGTTGAGGCTACGGTCATGGCACTCAAGCTCCGTTTAGGGAGAGCGTCCACTGCCGGTTTAACGGGAGGAGCTACCCTTGAGGACCATATTCTATGTTTATTGCCCGAGATCAAATCTAAGTACACATATAAGTTAGACATAGTAAAATCTCTTGATACGCAATTTTATTTTGGTATAGCTAGAACGGTTGCTATGGAAACGGCCGCCATCTTGAAAATAAACAATGAATTTGAAATCCCTAAGGCTTTCCGATTTAGAGACCAAATTTGACCAAATTTGGTGAGGGTATACCTGAACCAAGCCCTATCATAGTAACAGCGAGTTTTTTCAATAAATTTAAAAGAAAAAAAATTATGAGAATTTTCCCAAAGTATACAAAAACTTTTTCTAAATTTAGGTTGCGTAATCGCTTGCCAAAGGAAAAGTGTTACTTTTTTCGCAAATATCTTTCTGTTACATTGATGGCAGCCTTGCCAACTATGATTCCTGAAAGTTTCATGTAAAAAAGATGAAAACTAAGGAATAAGTAGGGAAAAAACTGCACAAAAATTATATTTTGCAAAAACCGACAATAATTGTGAAAATTCACTATATTAATCTATCCTCATGTTTTTAAAGGCAAATTACCTGTAGAATAAAGTTTTTCTCAATTGTATCCATGCTATTTTTAGACAAAAAACTTGTTGATCTTCAAAAATCAGCCAACATAAAATGTGCATAGCCTGACCCAAAATCTGCAAAATCAAGGGTCGCTCCTCCCCTTAAGTAAGCTGATTTTAGTCAGTGACGACAGTGACGTATATTTAATGCTTTGGCAAGCTTCAAGTGTTCCATCCCATCAGATGAAGGAGAACGAAGCGCCCAGAAATAAAGTCAGGATATGGGGGAAAATTGGATACGGTACATGGGAAACAAGAGGTGAGAGATGGGAAACAGAAGGTGGGATTTGGAAGATAGGGCTGGTCATAAAATGTGTACATGCAATAATGACTGTATATTCTGTATTGCACCGGGTCAGCCTGGGAACCAACGCTGAGAGAAAATGACGGGAATCAATTATTCCTATCAAACACCCTCTCACTCTCTCTCTCTCTCGTTCTGTCTGTCTCTCTCTCTCTCTCCCCTTTCTCTTTCCTTCTCTCTTTCTCTCCCCCCTCTCTATTTTCTCTTTCTGTCTCTCCCTTCCTCTTCCTCCCCCTCCTCTCTTTATTCCCTCTTCCCCCCCCCACCTTCTTCTCTCTCTCTCTCTCTCTCTCTCTCTCTCTCTCTCTCTCTCTCTCTCTCTCTCTCTCTCTCTCTCTCTCTCCCTCCCTCTCTCTCTCTCTCTCTGTGTGTCTCTCTCTCTCTCTGTCTCTCTCTCTCTCACACACACTCACAGACACACTGCCTGCAGACAAAATTGCACACTTTCAAACTCAAGAGCGCTGGAACGTTTGTTAACACTCGTATATCACAGGCCGTCACGCGCTAACACAAGATCGCGTCCAAGTCTCGCCCAGACGTGAGATAGGGCTTTGTCATATATATTTTTATCCTAATGGGTTGTTGCGTAATTGAGAGTTCCCTTACTCTAAAATGACGAATGGTCAATGGGTCAAAGATCACTGCTTCATTTTCCTTCATCTCATGGAATGGAACGCTTGATGCAGGCCAAAATATTAAATATAGGCTATATTCACTTCCATTAAATATACGCCCCTGTCGTCACTAACTAAAACCGGCTTACTTAAACCAGCAGTGGACGCTCCGTCTAAACAAAACTTGAGTGTCGTGAACGTAGCCTCAACAGAGCCAGCAAACTGCATTCAGGGTGCCGTGAACGTAGCCACTGCGAACATAATATAATTAGCATGTATATATGAATAATAATACATGATGTTATCTTGTATTTTGTTGTTTAGGCCTACTAATGATATTTTCCGTTCCCCTGTACCATATTATGGGTCTCAAGTATCACGGGGACATACTGGTGGCCTTTTGAAGCTTGTTTGGTAATATTCTATGTTTTTTTCTGAGTTCTCTCTCTATCTTTTGTCGCAAATGTCTGTTTTTCATTGGTGTTATAATATTTTGTGACTCTAGGTCTTGCAGAGATGAGCTCCAAGCTGATTTGCAGCATTCCAGGTAATTTTATTGGATGGTATCCTTTGTTAAAGATCTGAAATCTTTGGATATGTCGATATGATGACATGTGACTTTTCACATTTATAATAATGGCATAATACTTATTGAAAGCAATATAGCATTCATACAATCTCCTTTATATCTTTGTGTACATGCTGTACTTGAACTCTAAACTTCTCACAGTGAGAAGATGTATACAGTAGTCTGAACTCTCCTTTAGATCAACTTTTCAACGATATAAGAACTGGCTTAGCCATTTTCGTGCTACAATTTAATTGTACATGGTATAAAGTTTTTCTTCTTTGTCACTACTAAAGGTATGTAAATGTGCACCAAACGGAAGTAATTGATTATTTATTAGGAATTTCTTTTGATAATGTTTTGTCTCGTGTAGGCATGGAAAGAATAAATCTGTACTATTTAAGACAATCAGTTATATTTTATAAATACTGGTACTTTGAATACTTTCTCTTTGCTTACCACCTCCTGGAGTAGGCCTACCCTTTTTGTTTGATGCAATATGCCTGGCTATTTGTACTGTCAATCAAAAGAGTGCAATGTTTTCTGAAAGAGTTGATGTTACTTTTGTTTGCTGTTTAGACGAGCTCCATATCCTGATTGTCGGTGCTGGAGATTTTCGACATGTTCTGATGACCGTAGCAAGAAGGTACAGGCACAGCAAGAAGAAACTGAAGGTAGGACAAAAGAATGATTAAGAGTTGTGTGTATTAGGAAAATTTGGTTTACTTTGAGACTTTGATCAACTGTCTAGTGAACATCTTTCATAATGCACTTTTATAAGAACAAATTTATAGTGGTTTGTTTTATTGACGGTTAGTCACGGGTTATCCAGGAAGAATTATATTTGCATACAATAGTTTAAAACTTCAGTGTATTTGACAGTGCTGAAATTTCCCCTTCTTTCAACAACCTGGTTGCTCCTTTTTAAAAAAAGACTGGCTACAAACTATTCAGCCTTCTATCTGTTTTACTGTATTGAGTGAATCTTCCCTCTGTCATACCAACCATTTGCGTTTCTTACCTCAACATTTCAACAATTGTTTCCCTTGCTCTTCTCATATACCCTTTGCTTGTCAGCTTTGTTTTGAATATCCTTTGAGTATACGTAGGCCCATATACTGTTTCATTCTCTTGTGTAAACACTCTTAGTATTTCGGTTTCTCATGTGTTACTTTGAAAACGATTAGGAAAAATTCATGATATTACATCTCTGAAAAGTAAGTTTTTAAACTGCAACAAATTCTCCAAGTTGTAAATGCTTTTTGTTTTTTAATCTTATGAGCAGTTTTACGTAGTGGAGTCTGCATTGGAGTTGTATGCAAGGGACATTCTGTTCACGATGATAGCCTTAGAAAAACAAGAAAATATGGGTTTACAAGGTGAGACATTTGTGCCAATGGTCATTTCGTTAAATGTTGTGAATCTGAAAAAGATGATATAAGTGTTTACAGGGTACTTCTGAGCTTTCTGTCCGCTTTTTTGTTGTATTGTACTCATAAACTTTTACAAATGAATATTGCAGTAATTTTCAGAGTGTAGTATGTGAAGTAAAAACCTACTCTATCTTTAGCTAGTACTTGTAGAGTTTTAATTTGAATGGAAAAATGAATATGTGATATTGTTACCTATAGTAACATCATTGACCGATGGCCTTTTGCTGAAATTAAGAATGACGTGAGTAGGGTGCAATTACATCTGATAGACTAAGTCTAGCATCCATGCGAGCTGTATTTCTTCTCAATGATATTTTAAAATATCTTTTAATGTGTATTTTTTTCTGCTGTTTACACTGGTTGGTTATATTGTGTACATTAATTTCTGCCTACTTGACCTTTTACCTGTAGTCTTTTGATGTGTGGCCATCACACTGAAGATTTCGCTCGTGTAATTTGTTCTGCATTCTACAGATAAAACGGAATTGTTTTTGGAACTGTACGGCAATGCACTGGTTCGTGAACAAAGCAGTCAGTATGTGGAAAGAATGTCACATGAACTGATCCAGTAAGTTAATACTCCTAGTGTTTTTGAAATGAGTTTTTGTGCAATAACTTATAAACTTGAAATATGCTTTCAAAATTTTGTTCCTCTACAAACCATATCTGAGTCCAACTGATATACATTTGTGATAGTCTAACTTGCTCTTTTGACTCTGCCTGAGTGCAGTGATACTTCATGTTTTCAACACGACACACAAAGAGAACCAGTTATCTGAATAATATGTCATCTTCTTTTTTTCCATCTGTATGCTGTGTGTAATTTTTTTACTTGAGTAGCAAAAAAAGAAAAAAGAAAAAAAAGGTAGAAAAATAAATGATTTACATAAAAAACTTTATTCGCAAACTACATTTGTGAGGCATCGTGGTGAAATCAGGTGCTCGTCAAAATAACAAAATTGGGGAAACAGGCTTTTTCCCACTTGTTTTGCAATTCTAATCAAATTTTTTGTTTTTTTGTTTAACCCTGTTATGTCCAAACAAAAACTCGTTTTCGCATCATTTATTTTGAAAAAAACGTTGATTAACAGCTCAAAATATGTAATTTTCCTGTTTTCAAGGACTCTTTATATAGCTATTGAAGTTACCAAACTTCGGCTGCCATTTTCAAGCAATTTTTACTGCTGAAACCAAGTGAACTTACCTCTTTCCATCACAAATATCTTCACTTCTGCTCTAGATAGATGGGCATTTTTTTCATCAAAAGCAAGATGAATGAAAAAGCTTTAAGGTGATACCAACAACTCCACATGCACAAAAATTAACGAGGGCCTGATTCCACCGCGACGTGACACATTTATCTGTTACTTTTCACAATATTTATGTTGTCTTGTGTAATATGAAGACATTCATTTTTGCTCCTCTCTCTGTTCTCTTTGGATATTTTTACAGGCCATTGGCAATTTTTTACAGCCAGGGATGTTTCTAGGAATTGTGTGTTAATATTGCTTGTCTTCTCTTTTTTTCCTTGTTGTTATTACTTCTTTTTATGGGATCTGAAACATTCTGGCAAAAGTGAGATACAAATGCTAGAACTTGGGATATTGATATATATATTCGAGTTCCAGTCTACTGCCATTCACATTTCCTATTCTTTTGTTCGCTCTCTTGTCTAAATTAGCCATGTTTGATTAGAAAACATTTCTGATGATAGGGTATGCTAAGGTAGTATTTGTTTTCTGTTCTTTTACATTTATAATTCTGTAGTGAAGGTTCATCTAACTCTTGACTTTTATAAGTAACAGAAGTGGTACTTTGCCTCCAGATTCTTCTATGCTTAACAGGCTTTGGAAATTCTTGGTCTTTGCAGTACCTTTGTTGGTAATTTTGTTTTGCCGTGTTATTCAAAGAATGTTTGTAAGGCTTTTCTTTACAAAAATATTGAGCTTTTCTAAAAATGAACATATTCAGTTTATATAAAGGGTATGCACATGTTGGTAAATACACAATCACCCCATTCTGTATTCACAGTATGGTCACAGATTTTGACTACCTTGAAGAGAAGTTGCCACTGTTTGATTTGTCTGCGTTGAAGGTATGTTGTAATCTTAACTTGTAAAATTTGTACATAATGTTGTTTGATTACCATGTTATGGTCACAAGTTATCATGAGCAATGAAACAGTCAATTTTATTGTCAGTATTTTCTACTCGCACATGTTTACTTACTTTCTTCTTGGATCAAACTGAAACTTTTTTTTCTTAATGTGGGCATTGTAAGTTTTTTTTTTTCTTTTCAAATTCTAATTCTAGGATAATAGGGAAACAAATACATGTTTTTAACAGCTGTAAATATCCCTTGGCAGAGAGTAAAAAGAAAAAGATCCTGTATGATGATTGTTCTGAACACATATAATGCCTTTCCCCCGTTAATTCATTTAATTTTGAGAATGGATAAAATGTTATTTAACCCGTGTACAGAAATCCACAAGAAGTTTCTCAGGAAAATAGGTATTACAAGTGAAGTCCTTTGCAAAATGTTTTATTAAAAAAAAATTCTTTTGCAGTACAAAGAAAGAGATTTTTTGGAGGGAATTTTCAAATTCTGGCGCAACAAAGAGAAGCAACTTTTTGATATTTCACAATGTTGGTGAGTGGAACCTGTAGCTTGCGACAATAACCCTTGTGAAAGGACTTCTTATGTTCATGTTTGACAGAACAATTTCAGTTATGTAAGTAAGATGTCCATAAGCAATGTGAAATATATAAAGAGTTATACGAACATGTTTTGAGGAATTTAAACAGCTGAGTTTTATTCTATGCTTTAGATCTCAGTCCCTTTAGCCAAGAAGTAAAAAGGGAAAGTACCAAATCTTCACCTAAATATTTTCGAGATTTGAAGATTGATTGCAGCACACTTTTTTTGCATTTGGTCTTTGTTACATAACATTTTGTCCTTTTTTGATCATACTATGTATTCCATATCCATCAATAGGGACTTGCGACAAAGACAACTGCTTGGCGTACGATATGACAGCAAGATGAATGCATTTGACTGGGACTACAATATGGCGCTGATAGAAAGAGGGGTGGGTCTAATTCTCAAACGCTTTTTTTGTTACAAACAATTTTATTGTGGATGTTTTCACGGTGTCTCTGAGAAGTTCTACTTCTTTTCTTTTCATCTATTGTTTCTGTCTGTCTGTCTGGGTTTTTTTTTCCTTGCATGAAAAAATTGTTACTGTGTTAATGTGCATCTCGTTGCTCAAACTGATAACTCGCTTTTCACTGTATGATTAGCATGATAGCATGTTCTTTAAAACATGAAGCTGATAGTTATGGTATTTCTCTTTATTTACCTCTGTGGTATAAGATGATTTTTAGTCCAAGTCTCGAAGTACTGATAGAAGAATGAAGCAGTGGCTGATAATTAGGGCACTAGTTTTGAATTTTTGCTGCGACATACATTTGTTCTAAATAGTCTTCTCTTTTGCTGTTCTATTTTATAATGCTGTTACAAAGAGGAATCTCATTGGCACTGTTGGTTTAATTCTAACATAGACCCAAATGCACAAGCTCCTTTCCCTTCTTTGTGAAAAATCTGACTACTGATATTTGTTACGAGATTTTGACATAAACTAAAAGATTGATACAGCGTAGCCATCTTCTGGAAGGGGGAAACTGAAGCTGTGAAAAATACAATATAATATAAGGTATAAAGTGTGTTCTGGATTGGATCTGTGTTCCATTTAGACCTCTGCTAAACCCGTGACCAGGAAGGCAATCTCCGCTAAAATGTAGAGCTGGATACTGGATAGAAAATGATTCACTTTCCATTTCTTCAAGCCGATTGTTCCGAAAGTTATACTTTGAGCGTTAAAGCAAAACTTCTCTTAGTCTACTGCTGAAATAAAGCGTTTCTTTAGTATCCACACATTCAGTTTGACTTGTAATCTTGCTAACAGTCTGAAAAACCATAACCAGTTTGACCCTCCTGCTTAAAGATGACTTTATGTTTCGCCAGGGTTCGATTGTGCATCTGAAACAGTACAAGGACTGGCGGTCAAATGGAATTGCTTTTCAAATTCGGGAGGGAACCTATGATGTTCCCAACAGAACTGTGGCATCAGGAATGGTCTTCAAGCACGTATGTATTTAAAGTTTTAGTTCATTGTTTGTTTTTGTGAGAGCAAAACCCTATCTGACAGAAATAGATCAACCATGCAGGTGAACCCCACACTTCAGGGTTATGGGGTTCTGTTTTTTGTAAGATCAGACCTAAAGATCAACAGTGCTATGTGGGCAGAGATGAAAGGAAGTACAGTCGAACCCCGTTACCGCCTATCTTGGGACGGGTATGAAGTTGGCGTTACAGCAGGGCTGGCGGTACAGCAAGGTTTTCATGTCCTCTGTTAAATACATGTAGCAGCCACGGTCCAACATCAAGGGAGCTTGTTCAGCAATCACTAGATGAATTAATGAGTTATCTCCCTTCAATTTGTCACTTGGACTTGATTTTGAGTCATCACAAATAACACCACAGGCATCTGCCAGCTTGTCAGTTATTGAGCTGATATCTGGCGACTCCAGATATTTTGGTGGGGGACCAAGATGGCGAGGTTCCTTTAAATTTTCTGCGAGCGACTTAAAAATTTAATTTAATTTTTTAAAATATTGGCCAAGGCCTAAAAATAATAACATTTTCATAATTAGCTCATCAACATTGGCTCCCAGTGAAGGCATGAATTCAGTACAAAATAATTGTTCTTTGTTTTAAGTGAGTCAACAACATTACACCATCATATCTTTGTGACATGGTCATCGAATATATACCATCTCGGCCTTTGAGATCGGCAAAGAAAAGACTTTTAAGAACTGTCCAAAGCATATGTCAGAGACTCAGAGGAAGAGCTTTTTCACACCACGCCCCCTCCCTGTGGAATGCTTTGCCAGCTCATCTACGGGAGTCTACCTCTGCCACTTCAACAAAATTCAAATCAGTACTTAAAACGTTTTTGTTTCAGTCCAGCTTCAATCTGTATCTGTAATTTTCGACATTCCCAATACAAATATTACTATGTTCTCTCAGTATTATGTTCTCTCAGTATCGCTTATTCGTGCTGTTCTGTTTTGTAACAATTTATGACTGTGTGATGTCATCAATGTGTATGAGGGTGTCTGGGTAAGTTTTGTGGGATTGTCTTTACTCAAGGATGTACTAGAGAGAGAGAGAGAGAGAGAGAGAGAGAGTGTGTGAGAGAGAGAGAGAGAAAGAGAGAGAGAGAGAGAGAGAAAGAGAGAGACAAAGAGAGAGAGAGAGCGACGGAGACAGAGAGACAGAGAGAGAGAGAAAGAGGATTACTAGGAGCTGTGCGCTGCATACATTCTTTGTATTGTTGTACAGCGCATTGAGCACTTCTTTGTGGAAAGGCACTATATAAATGCAATATGTTATTTTTGTTATTATTAAATTTAGTTGGATTCACACAGGGAGCAAAATTGAATGCTGAATTAGAAATATATGTTTTTTTTTCCCATTGTATTTTTCTTCATTACACGATGTATTGTGTTCGCTTGCAACACATTACATCACTGTACATCTATACATATTGCCTGAATTCTACAAGGCAAGGGTGGGGAGGTGGGATGGATGGGGAGGGAGCAAATCTACAAAAAGCGTTTGATCTAGACCAAGGCCTAGCTCCTATAAAGACTTGTGTGTGAAAGATTGTCAAGCAACCACAGAGTGGATGTGCAGTGCTCTAGCTCTGTGTAGCCTAGTGTGTATTACTGTGTTCTTCTGGTGGCCAGTTTGCTGGCGGTAAATGGGGTAAATTTACAGTAGTTTGATAAAGACTGTACAACTGAGACAGTTGGCGGATGGCGGTGTAAAGGCGCAAATACTATGTTTATATAGGGAATTCTTTTCATATGTCAGCAAATCCTGGTGGTACAACGAGATTTGACTGTATGATGAAAATGTGCCTTTGCCATGAACTGCACCCATCTGCTGTGGTATTTGTTCGCATCTCCCCATCTCGTCGTGTTGGAGCTTTTTTAAAATTAATACTGGTAATTTGATAGTCCAAAGTTGATGAGTCTATCTGTGGTATTGATTTTTATTTGCTCAGAGTTTAAAAGGAATTATAATGCTACTTTTGGTGCTTTTCTACTCCTAATAGTTTCCAAAAAGGCATGATGTAAATTTTAAGACTGCAAGTAAAATTCTGAAATCATTGGTTTTCTTACTTATTTTACTTCTGCATTTTTCAGCATATAAGGTACTACTTTTTTCTTCAAATTTTATTTGTATGTTATACCTTATAATCTGGTGCTCCTCATGCATGGGTAAAAATGTTTTGGCTGTTTGTATGTCGAAATCTGAACATAGGACTGTGACATACTCAAAACAGCACAGAAAAACCCCCAACACTACCAGTGTCTCTTAATTTGCTCAAAAAGAAAATTGATATGTAGGGAACAGGATAATGACTTTTACAGTTTGTTAATTGTTTACTTAATTTAAAAAAGATTCATGCTCCCCTTGAATCATGTTATGGCTCCTACGTTGTTTCAGCTGTGCATTGTAGGATTATGGACCATCACTAAACTTTGGTTTGTTAAAAAAAAACCCCTGAGATTGGGGGAGGGGGTGAGCCTTATAATCCAAAATATCTTGATGCCGGCAAAATAATGCAGCTTTTTTTCCAACCACCTTTTTTTTGCCAAGTAGCTGTCTGACCTCATGACTATTCTGACTTTTTCTGTGTGTCCAAAGGAAGGAGAAAGATATCCAAGGCGAGGCTACTGGGGAGACATGGTGGTTTCCCCGTACATCCCATTCGGTGTTGAGACAGAGGAGAAGTCTTTCTTTAAGAAGCAAAACAACATGCACACAAAGGTACACTTACAAGCTTCTGGAGTGTGGAAAGTAGTGAATGAGCTGATTTTGTAAAAAAAAAGTTAATTAGTTGCTGTTGTGTAGTTGGTAGAATGATCCAGATTTTGCCTAGAACGAAGGTGCTTTTCACAAATAAGGGATTTTGTGACCAGAATGCTGAGCTTTACTTTTCCTGTTGAGTTTAGATAAACTTTGTTTACAGTATCCCACCATCAATTTGGATATCTGTATCCCATATAGTTTATGAGCATTTCAAATTGAGAGGTCTTTGAAAATAGGTAATTTATTTGATGCTTTGTAATACTCCCGTCGAAGGAATTTAACAGACACAGAGTTATATTTTATTGTTGCTTGCAAATTTAAGATGTGTCTTTTTTTAAAGATGTAGGTGCCCCAATCGACATGATTTAGACAATTTAGGAGACGAGCTTCAACTTTGCCTGTTGGGGCCAACCCAGGATGAGAGAATAAGAACATCCCAGCAGAAAGACTGAGATACTTGATAAAAAGTCTCCCAACACAAGAATCAAACTCAGGCTTCCTAGTGCAGTGGCAGAGGGCTTCACTGCTGTGCCATGTACACGGATTAAGATGAGTCAAAGGATCTTAAGAACGTTACCAGAACCAGTCACATTTTTTGTGACTTAGATCAGTGTTTTACAGGGTTTTTTTGAAGAGGCGTAAAAGGTGTTGGGCCAATTTTAAAAAATTGGTTAATTTTGCCCAAAGGGTGAAAAAATATTGATTTCTTTGATTTCATTATTTTGACGAGCACCTGATTTCACCATTATGCCACACAAATGTGTTTTACAGAATTCACTGTGCTGAGCTTGGATAAAAGGTAAGGGATATTATGAAGTTTTTTGTTTTGACTTTCCCTCTATACACTTCTTTTTACTCATTCGATTTTTCTGACTTCAGACTGCAGAGGATGTGTCAGAGTTCAATGTGACTGCCCTGTTCCACGAGCTCATGATGAAAGAGAAGTATGAGCTACCGAAAGTGGAAGAAAAAGATGGGAAGGTGGAGGACAAGTCTGCTCCTCAGACAGCTACTCTGGAAGGTTGTCACAAATACCCTCTTCAAATACTTTCAGAATGCAAGCATTTATAACAAAAGATGTCTAAAAATGCTTGCCCATTTTTAAAGTTTTTGGATACAAACTGATTGAATTCCGAATTTGCATTCTTTTCTATTGTCTTGGATGTAGTATACCATACCTGCTTATTTAGTCAACCCATAATTGTTTTTTAACAAATTCTGAGGATTTAAGGGAATGTATTACCTAACAGTGTTACAAAATGGTCCTCATGCAGCAAATCCCTTTGAGAATATTCAGCTTACCTTCAGGTTTTAAATCACTAGTTGTATTATTATTTTGTTTTACTGTCTTTCCTCTTTTTTTACTCTTCTTCACACTGTCAACATTAAACTTTTTTTTTTGCTTTTCATTTTGTCAACCGAGCTACGCCTATCCTCTTTCAGATTAAGATTGACTTAAAAGTTACTCTTTTCATAACAAAAAGGTCATGGTCTTGTGTTTCAGAGATCACGGAGGAAAATGAAGAGGAGGAAGCTGAAGAAAAGTCAGAGGTCAATAAAAGCGAAAGTGAAGAGAATGAGGACAAGAATGAATCCGCTGTCCCAGAAGAGAAGTCTCATGGTAAATTTTTCTTTGACACCAGATAGCCTTGTCTTCTTCTTCTTCTTCTTCTTCTTCTTCTTTTTCTTCTTCTTCTTCTTCTTCTTCTTCTTCTTCTTCTTCTTCTTCTTCTTCTTCTCCTTCTCCTTCTTCTTCTTCTTCTTCTTCTTCTTCTTCTTTTTCTTCTTCTTCTCCTCCTCCTCCCCCTCCCCCTCCTCCTCCTCCTCCTCCTCCTCCTCCTCCTCCTCCTCTAAATGGACATCCCAGTCTCTAGTGCGAAGGCTGTCTACAATGACCACTTTTCTCCTTGCCAATAGATGGTCGTCTTGGACAGGTTTGACTGTAATCTGCAGCAAGAAAAAAATTAGTAACTCTGTTAGACTGTCTGTAAAAAAATATTTGAGTTGCTTTTATATTTTGTGCAACAGAAAAAACCCCGCCTGGGGAATGGTCAGGGTTTCAAGAGTTTGACTAAATTTGAAAGTTGACAAGCTACAACTACAAACAGTTTTATTTGCCTAGATTTTTTTATTGAATGTAAGCTAAAAGAGAAGATATTATTCTGCAGGGTACACCATCTGCTCAGTTGGCAGCTATCATGTTGATCTGTGATGTAGGTTAGTGGTCCCCAACCCCTGCACTGGTTGGTGGGTCATTTGGTTCCGCACCACACAGGAAAAGGAAACAATATTATTGTCCTTTTAAAAATTATTTATTTGATTATCAGATTCCGAAAGGTGTTTATTTTGAATAATGACGGGATTCTCTCCTGTGACTTGATATGTGACGTGATAGTTACTTCTCAGCATGTATTATATTAGATATTTACTCTCAAACTGGTCAAATATCTTTTTCGATGTATTTATCCACTACATCTTGAAGACTGGTCTGTGAAAATATGTCTTACATGAAACCTGTCTGTGGCGCAAAAAAGGTTGGGAACCACTGATGTAGGTGACCTTGATTCAAATCTTGTTTTTCTATCTGTATAGAATTAATGTTTTAATGAATGTTTCTTGTTACTCACGTTTCAACTTTATTTTGACTGTTCGTGAATTTTTATTGCATTGTATATTTTTAGTGAACACATTTTCAACCTCACTGCGAGACTGTTTTTCTGGTATAAGATTTTACACATATGCATTTATATTATATTTATAATACTTTGTTTTACGTACACATTTGTGTCGATTAATTTTTAAGATGTGATGTCTTTTTCATTGTAATGCGCATTGAGCATCTTTTAGGAAATGGAAATGCGCAGTATAAATGCTATTTATTATTATTATTATTATTATCAGGCGATCATGAGGTTTGGTTGTTTTGGGAGTTTCTAGGTTATCCACCCTCTCGGCTCAGTCCTGTTTGAAACGGATGTCAAAGTCAAAGGTCCCAGAGGTCCATCAGCTGACAGCATTGAAGTGGCATTTAACCGATATAAACCGATACAATGCCATCGCTTACTTTTTTTTTCTCAACCTCTTTTCAGAGTGGCTTCCCCTTGAAGATGTCAAGGTGATTTTTTTGCCTGTTGCTTGTACTGCTGACCTGGTGAAGAAAGCCAAGTACAAGAAACTCTTCAATGTTGTGTTCTTCTCAAATAGGTGAGTCTACATCCAGTGTAACTTACACACTTCTTATTCTGATTCTGGATTTGTTCTTTTTGTGATTACGACAATAGTAAATGTTCTATTCTTCAGTCTGCAAAACAACTGTTTTTTTGCAGAGATAGATCTATGCTACCAATTTTGTTACATGGGTGTAGAGTTTCTTGATTTTCAGGCATCCTTAATGTTTTTTTCCAAAGGTACTTGTATTTTATTATAGTGACTGGAGTGTGTTCTACTTTTGGGTGGTTAATGTTTCAAGACACTGGAGCTTTTAAAGCAGTAAAGATTAAAGACCCTGCTAGCGACGTAAAGGGAAAAAGTGGAGTTCTAACATAGCAGATAACCTTTTTTATCTTAAATTCTTTCCTATCTAGTTCAAGTCTTGTTCATTCCTTTCACAGCATGGTGCACCATCTAAAGCCAGAGGTTTCTGAACTTTTTGCTGACAAGTGCTCCTTGATACTGGAGACAGCCTTGTGAGTGAATCTTGTTTTCTGACAAATTTACTGTAGTTTTCGGGCTATTAAGATTGGTTTTGACACAAAAATCGCATTTGTATTTCTTGTCAGCGCAATAACCTTATTTTTATCAACTGTGTATTTTATTGAGGATGAAAATAATAGTAATGATAATAGTAATAACAATAACAAAAACAACACAAATAATGATAATATAATCACAACAAGAATAGTAATTTGAAAACAAAGTACAACATGACAACATCAATAATAAAGATAATGGAAGAAAATACTAGCTATGATAATAATGATGATAATAATTTTAATTATATGAATTGCCGGTTGTGATACTGGTGTCAGTTTTCTTCTGTTCAACTAAAACTGACCTAGAAGCTTAGGCTGAAAGTGTAGTATTGATCCTTTTCCATTCTGCATTCAATAATTTATGCATGAAATACTTTAAGATATGAGGTAATGAAGGAATAGAGAAATCTGAGCTGTCGTTTTATGTTTTCCTCAGATTTATGCTTCAGTTGAAGGCAGAGCATGTACAGGAATTTGTGAAAAAAACCACAGGGCTGGCAGAGGCTACTGGGTGTAAGTCTCTGGAAGCTTGCGATGACCTTCAGGACTCCTATATAAAGTTTTACTATGAGAGATGATCGAGCCAACTGTGCTGCTATGAGTGAGAATAAAGTGTTGTGTTGTGGCTGCTTCTAAATGTGTGGAGAAGGGTTATGACCGAGAAAATGTTGACCTAATGTACAGACATTCCAGTTGTTCAGTTTGGATTTGTTTGACATATTTTATTTTGTGACCTTGTGTGGTAGTTTTTGTTTTAAAAAAGTGAATAAATGAAAATATGTACAGATGCTTAGTTTTATTCAAAATGTTGACGCTGTTTGTTCAAAGTTATTTAAAAATTGACACAAACTCCCGAGGGAAGTTTCCTCACTGACAATCAAGCTTCAGATGTGTTGAGCTAGATGCACAAAACTAATTGATTGAACCTTTATCTAGATAAAACTCAGGGGCTATAACAAAAAGTCCAGACATATTCCAATCCACGTAAGATTAATTCCAAATCATTTTTACTTCCCTTCTGTTGATTTGGAATGAGGGCGGTAGACTTCTTTGAGCCTTCAAGATAAAAATGAAAATGTCTTGCCCTGGAGGCAAACAACTGTGAGGTCTTTGGGTGCTTCCAGATAATGGATTTTTGTTGTTCAAAGCAGTGAGTTGAAGACTGACAGTGTTGTTGAAGACTCACTATTGAATCATTCCCTGAGTAGAAGAGAACAAGTCACAATATTTCGCCTGCGAACACAACACATACCACTAAATTCCTACCTTAATAGGATCCGCAAGGATACCCCACCCGACTGCCCGTTGTGCGACTGCCAGGATGAAACAGTACCACACCACCTCTTTAACTGCCCAGCACTTTGTGACCTGCGTAGCACCTACCTACCTGCCTCCCCAGACATCGGAAACACTCTATACAGCGACAAAGCACAGCTGATTAAAACCTGTCAATTCTTTGCCATATCGACTGACCGAAGGGCTAGAACCCAAATGGCTGCTGGATCGGAAAAGTAAAAGTAAAGTAAAGTAATCATTCTTGCACATCTTGATTTACATTTTCCGGTTAATTGTGGATGCACGACATTCACTAGAAGTATATATGTTCTACCTTGAGTCAGTAATCATGGCAAGGAAGCTTTAGAATGGAAAGAAAAAAAAATTCTGAAACATGAAAAATACCCCTTTTTATCAATACTAAAACTTATAAGCACAGCATTGAATTGAAATAAAAATCCACTGGCACCTTTGTAGCCTATTTGATAAAAACTATAAATGTGTCTTGTTTCATTATAATCTAGAACCTAGTCACTGCGATCTCTGCTGCCCAGGACAATCAACAAAGAGAGATCATGACTGGTTGGGCAGTGAAATCAACGCCGGTCACCTTCTGATTTAAGACTAATAATAAGAGTACGGGCACTGATTTTAAGGGGAAAAAAAAATGTGACGTAACCTTTTTAATAGAAAGACACAATTTGTCCTTTGATGAAGTTCATAACTTTCTGTAAACAGTAGCAAACAATCTTTTTAGTCGACAACTTTGAATGTTAAAGGGTTCGGAATTTGATGAATTGACCAAGTTTTTGCTGACCTTTATACCTTCCATATTATGCTAGCCTTGTTTTATAGAAATACTGCAGCAATAAATTACTTCCTGTGAGCAAAATACCATCTCTTGTATTGTATGCGTTCATTCTGATCCTAGAAACGTATGTTTTTTCAGGGAAACATGTTCTATTCATGTACAGGCACAGGTTTGATTTGAGAGAGCTGACAGATGAATGGTACTTGGACATTCACAGGGTGTGCAATAGAAGTTGTTGTTTATAGACGTATCTTATTGTTTGTGTTGTAATAAGTCATAACCAGGAAACGTGGAGGCACCTGACGAAGCTCTCTATCAATATCATACAGCGCCCCTTCGATCCTCGTTGATTATTGGATCAGTAAGCAGTAAGTGAGTCAATAAGGGGGTTTGTCTTCAACAATTATTCTGGTTGGGATTCGTTGATCAGTGAAATCATCTAAAGGATTTGGTTCGTCATAAGGTACAACTGATATTGCCACATTAGGCCTCTAGCTTGAGTGTTTTCTTTTATTTAGTGTTAGTTTTTTTTTCTTTGAGCACTCTTTCATTATGTATACTTACTTAAGGCTTGAGATTGCTGATTTCTTAATTGCACGTAATCGCATGTTGGCATCTGAAAAGAATCACTCCCTGAGCAGTCCGAGCAGCGTACGAAAAGGGATGGACGGGCAATAGATAATAGTACTATCCCTTATAATTTTGAAGCGTTTGGACTGAAAAACAACCTTAGTTGTGATCATTCAACAAGTTCCCTCTAGGCGATAGTTGGCGTCGGTTACCACTACATGTTTTCAAACAAACAAAAGACGCTACTGCGTACTACTTTTTCGGTACTGAGAGAACTATTTCCACCTAACGTAACACTTAGTAATAGACAATAGGCCTAGATCTGTATTATTGATCGTATAATTGTCTGTTGTCAACTCCAAGCGCAAAAATGTGATGGACACAGGCAGGCAGTCAGATTAGAGGGATTTTTTTCCTTGTTTGTGAGTGTTTTACGGTGCTCGCAACTGCATATGAGCCCGCGGGACACATCAAACATTTTCAGTTGGTATGGAATTTGGAATTTTGCCCGGATGGCGGCCGAAACCTACTCTTGTCTTATCGATTTTGGACCACCAAGGGATCTTTAACGTGCGCAACTCGGGACGTCCGAGATTTTTCTCCCTTGTCCAAGAAGGTTAGGTGTTGATCTTTCCTACCATAAGATCAGGAGTGTGGCTGAAGGACAGCTGTAAGAAGCCAAGGAGTAGCAATAGAAAGGTTGCAGAAAGAGTCCGGAGCCCAGAGGAGGGGGCAAAGGAGGTGAGGGCGTAGGGACAGAAAGTGGCATGTGGAGACGAAAGCAGAAGACAAAACATTGCTTGAGAGCAGGAAAGGATGTGGAAGGAAACAATTTAGAGAAGGAAAATTTCCGTTGCTATCCGGATTCGAACCCGGGACCTATTGAAAGAGGGGCGAGCACCTTAGCCTCTAGGATACGAGAGCCTCCATAGGAGCCCTTTAGTTGTAGCAAATTACCGTCACACACGCATCAAGGCCATGTTCTGTCTGCTCTACTAAAAGCACAATGCTGTGAAAGACGTCGGTTTAAAAAAAAATTCTCAGTAAAGCTAGAGGATAATTGGGATTCAAATAGATATGAATGGAAACCGACGTCGATGGACAAAGCTACAAAAGCCTCATCATGCAAGGTTTCTAGATCTATATAGGCCTACATTGTGTAGTTGTCCCCACGGAACTATAGATCTAGATTCACACCCCCCCCCAAAA